TTAGCTGCAGTAGCCTTGGCAGGTAGAGAAGTAGATGGACGAATAGATTGTTTAGCACGAGCAGGGGAGGAAGGATTCCTAATCAACACAGGAGTGACCAAAATAGGAGAAATGGAAGAAGTGTTTGGCTGATCAGTGAATGGAAAGCACGATTGGCATCAGTTGCAAACAATCTGTGCTTCACTGATGGCCAGAGTTGTTCAAAAAGAGGATGGAGGGCACGGCTAGAATTGAAGGGGGCTAATGAAAATTTACTTGTCAAAAGAATGTTGCGAGCATCTATAACTTGTGCCTCTGCCTTATTAATGGTGTGAAAGCGGTCCGTCAAATTTTTGAATAGTAAGGAAGAATAGGCCAAATTTGGCCAAAACCAAGTTGGCGAACAAAAAATTGGGGAGCATATATTTCAACCCCAGCTTTGGCATTGGTTCCAGTTAAAATATCATGGAACAACTCCCTCCCAGTCAAAAATTGAACCCAAACGAGCAGAGAGGCGCTCGCACTATCCAGGGTGGATGGAGGTTGCACATAATCTGGAGTCAAATGAGCAAGAAAAGGAAAGAAAGAAGGAATTGAATTTAAAGTATAAAAGAATGAAAAAATATCCCTACTGGACATATTTACAGGGTTCAATGAGTTAATGGCTAGCCCATAACAGCTAACAGAACGAAGAGAAACGGATGGAGCACTAAGTGATGGGAAATATGCTCTCAACCACAATTGAGTAAACTAAATAGGCCCACTGCCAGTGGGAGATGCACCATTCTTCAATTGAAATTGAAGAGAAGTCATGCCTCTATAAAGGGCAGCCAAAAAGAAGGAATACAAATTCAAAGGCCTATCACGCGCCAATTCATGCGCTATGGGTAAGTAACTCATGAAAGGCTTCATACTTGGCACGCAGAGAATATATTTACATAGCCAAATCTGAAGAAAGGCCACACGCTCAGCATGGGAAGGTTCAGCGCTTGAGTGATTATAAAAGCCTTGCAGGCTTGAGTAGGACTCAGTGAGTTTCTTGTCAAATTTTTGGGCGACATCGAAAATCAAAATACCAGGGAAAATGGTATCGCCCAAAGGTGGAAGATTTACTAGGGCCCCAACATCCCTTAAAGTAATAGACATGGGACCAAGAGGGAAAACAAAGGTATTATATTCAGAAGACCAAAAACTTAAAGCAATAGGAAAAAGCACCGGGTCAAAAATTGGGGGTTGAAGAGCGATTTCTAATAAATCAGAAATCCTAGCATGATAAAAAATTGCATTGGTAGGACCATGGCCCACAAGGCGAGCAAGCCATCTACGGAAACTAACATCAGATTTAGGCTAAGTGCGAATACCTTTTTCGCGAATCGGCCTCAGCGGCAAAAAGTTCAGGAACGGAGGGCCTTGAGTGCAAGGGAACAACTGGCCCACCCCCACTTGTTTGACGGCTTCGGCATTATTAAATGATGGACCCAAATATAACTCATTGAGTTCGGCATTGGCTGGTGCAAGGAAGTTCGGATTTACATATGGCCGAGTAAGGATTTTCTGGAAATCTTCGAAGCTAAAAGAGTCATCAGATCGGGTTTGTGGAACCGTCATTGGGAACGAAATACAGTTTTGTTAAAGTTTGCTTGAGAAACGTAGCAGAGAAGCAAGAAGATGAACAATAATATTGCGAGAAAGAAGCGTGAAATAATGAGGCGTGATTTAGTGGTGCGATGAAATGGCGCGTCTTTAGAGTTTATAAGAGTTTGTAACGTCGCACCTTTTCAGGCTATGGAAGGAAATAATAAATTAAAATCCTTGAGAATTTCAAATGTTGCTGGAAAACACAAAATAAATATGGCAAAGATTAATAATTAGTATTAATTTTGCCATATTGGGGGGTAATTGTTGACACACTAAAAGTGCAGCCCAAATCGAATAGCCCAAGGAATGAAGCCCGATTGAGGAATTCTCAAATCAAATAGCCCAAAGAATGAAGCCCAAATGGGCAATTCAGAATAAAGGCCCAGACGGGGTTATTAATGAATGCAGTGGAAACCCACGAACATAGTAACATCATCGCCCAAGCTTGTAAGACGCCCAAGATCTGAGCGAATGGAGTACCTTACAGTCGCCCAGAGCGATGACCCTGTTCTCGCCCATACCTTCGAATCGCCCAGGATCTTAGCAAACATAAAATGTTATGATTATCCAGAAATGCAGTTATTGAAGCAGTTATTTAGTAACCTTATCACATTCCAAGATTTAAGGAATTCAGTTGAAGGCGGTTGAACGACAAAGAGTAGTGGCAGCAGTCAGAGACGGCAGTTCCACGACAAGTTAACCACCATAAAGAAAGTGGTAGTTATAAAGCAATCAAGCAGTTTCCAAGCGGTTTGTCACGAAAAAATCATCAAGGGAATATAAAAGGAAGAGAAGACATGGAGAGAAGGGACCCCGAATCAAACACTCTCAAACAGAGAATATGTAATTTCAATTTCTTAATTTAAACTTAAACATTTCTTTCAGTACTCGTGTGCTTGCGCCCCTTGGAGGCATTCTGTTTAGTTCCAATTGTAAATCATCTCTAATAAAACACCCCTTTTTGGGATTTTGTCTCAAAATGTTTGTTCTTTACACAATCGTCTGATCCCTTTTTAATTGTTAGCGACTACCCGTGCGAAACACACCGCAACCACTTTTGTATTGTTCAACACTGCATACAAAACCTTCACCGCATTATTTTATGCCCTTGTTCGGTTCCCATTAAAATTTTAATACATTTTTCTCCTTTTTTTTTTAATTACACATTCTTCAATAAAATAATATTCTTATAAGAAGTGAAATTTTACAACACAATGTCCGCGTAAACCACGTTACATATCGCTATTAGTAAAAGCTGGCGTACGGACTTGCTCACCCACTCACGGTCTCCAGGCTCCAGCCAAAATCCATGTTAACCCACCCGCCATATCTTCCCACTTTCCAAACTGTCAACCTCGTTTGCTAGCTTTATATGGTTGTGGGCCGATGTTTATTAAATTCCACTGGTCTCTGTTTGAGGCGCCGTGGTCCTCAGATTCATATAATTAATGTGTACTCTTCATATGTCTTTGTTTACTGCCCTTTATTTATCAGCCTTTCTGTATATGTATTTGTGCACTTGTCAAATGTATTAACTTTTGGGTCTTCTCATTTCTGCGTTGTGTTTTGTGTTATTACTGTGTCCACTCTTACGTGCTCATGTTGTTAATTTCTTCTTTCAAAATACTGCAGAAGACAGAGTTAAATGGGTAGAATAACAGTAAAATGAGGCGGACTGATATATGGAAAAGTTTGCAGTCCTTAATAGTACCATCATTAATGCAGCACTGCAAATGTTAATAACATTTCATCCTTGTCATAGCCATTTTTGATAAATTTCTTCAAAGTGAAGACATGAGTAGACAACATAAATGGAATTGTTGGTAAGTTGAATTAAACATGACTAGTAAGGACTAAGGATTTGGCACGTGAACCGTGAAAAAAATTGTCAATTTTCATGTATTGTGTGGTTCAGACACATCATCGAATACTACTTGATTGAAAAATGAAAAATTAGATCTTCGATGAAATAGATAAACACAAGTAGAACGAGAACACTCAACCACAAAAGTCTCTTTCGCTAGCTAGAATTGAATCAAATTCCTGTTGGTCTTCCGCAATCCCCCATATGTCCATTACAAATTATCTAATTTACATATTACTGCATCAGAATTCTCCATGACAAGACGGTTATATGATAGGATCACTAATATATTGAGTTTATTCGATTCAGTTTCGAATATAGATATCCTTTCAATACATTCTTCACGGAAAACACTTAGCTGTGATAAATAAGAAGTGAGAAGTTGCATGATATTAAAATTAAATGACCTGAGTCAAAATAATAGATAGGCTAATTGCAAGCCAACTTATAAGTCATTCACATATAGTTGCAATCAGTGACACTATCAAGATGTTATCAAGAACAAGAAAAATACCCTATTACAGGAACAATACTGTTGAAAAGATTATCAGAGATGTAAATCCAAACTCACGTGACCATCTTGCATGCTTGGCTTCGGCTCATATCCCAACCGGTTTCGAGAATTAGGGTTATTATTTGATGATAGCTGCAAGCGACCATCATAGAACGATGGGAGCTGATGCATAAAATTAGGAGAGCTTTGAAGGGATGGGACTCTCCACGCGGCCAAGGGACTCCCACTGACAGGTGGTTGTGTGTTGGATCCATGGTGAGTACCGTATAATCTTGAGTCACTAGTGCAGGAATAATTGCTTCTATTGCTCCATGAATGATGATAAGGCATGGTTGCAGGTGGAGCTGAGCCGAGGCAATAATCCATGACACCATAAACGTGAGGATCAGATAGGCCACCATGTATCAGTGCAGACTGAAGATGAGCACGTTTAGCATTTTGGCGCTCCCTCTTGTGTGCATTCTGGTGGCCTCCTAGAGCTTGAGAGGTGGGAAAGTTTCTGTTACAATAGTGGCATTCGAATTTTCTACCGCTGTCTCCATTATCGACGTTTTTAGTCTCTTCTCGAGATAGATTTTCACTAGGCTCGGATTCATTATTAGCTGTTGAGTCACCTACAAATTCTTTACCAAAGAGCTTGATGGCCTTTTCCTTGACTGGAGCCGGACGAATAAAGGGTAGCTGGGAGAATGATTCGACGTTCATGAAGTCGCGAGTCTCTATCTCACTCTTCTCCATGGATGTACAAACCTTTTTATCTCCGAGTACAGTTTGCAAATGTTTTTAAGGAGAAGTGGAGAGAAATGTGAAAGAGGGAGAAAAATGGTCTTGTAGAAGGAGACTTGAGAGAGGGTATGGTGGGACCTCATACATAATTGAAGCCTCAATCATTCCATGAATGTAGCCCTAAATTTTGATGTTTATATGAGAATGGATTTTGGCTTACATTTCTTGGTTTCTACTTTCGTTTTATTCTATGTTAATTCTGTATTAAATAATTGTCCACGTCGTTATCTGATAATTAGAAAGGAATGCTGTGAAGCACATTACTTTATATGGTTAAGGAGGAGTAATTGAGATAGTCATAATTAATTTACTTTGTTCAGTGCAATGGGAGAGATGTGAACAGATGAGTTTATTCGTGGGTGAAGCCCTCAGGACCAGGTACATACTACATAAATCCAATATTTGACCATACATGGTGTCTGGGTTTTGCTGTTAACTTATTTCAAGTAATTGATGGAGCCATTAATTCGGCAAGGTGGTCCTTAAAATGAAACCAATATATCACATCAAATGAAGTGGATGTCTAAACACCGGTCACGAGACGTAGACTACTCTTCTTAATAAAATTGATATTTTACTTTAAAATTCAATCTTAATAACACCCAAAAATTTCAAATTAAAAGGTTCAGAACACCATTGTATGATTTTACAACGAATCAAAGAACTAAAATTTACCTTTATTTACTAGAAACTGGTAAATATTTTAACTTGTTCGGCTTAACTTCTGCAATATTTACATCTTCATACTATATTTATTCCTTGTACAACTTTCATAAATAAGGTTGTAAAATCATTTTCATTCTTACATAATTTCAATTAACTTCTATTTTATTTGCTTAGAATTATGGTCATGTGAGACTGCAGGGGTGTTGATATTTTTTGTTATTTGGATATGAGGAACTCTTAGCATTCTGTGAGTCTGCAGAGTATAATTTAGAAATAGCAATTAAATGATGTGCATATTTAGAGTCTTTTTGCACAACATTCTGCTAAATTCATGCATGGACCATTTCAAGAAAGTGATAAATTAATGTGATTTGTATTCATTTCTTTCTCTTCATGTGATTTTATAAATATAGTTACTGATTTTCTAGATTGGTATCTTAATGGAAGGATGGACAGCAACATTTCATCAGAGAGGATATCTTCTCATCAAAACCATTGTTCAGGACCATTATTACATATATATTCTCATTGGTTAGGTTTGCTAAGGATAAATATTACATACCAAATAAATATGAAATAAATATATTATATGCAACAAATAAAAGCTAAGGTAACATGCCCTTGTCATCTATTGTGACAATGTTGGCTAGATACTTGAGTGCAAATCTAGGTTTCAAATTCTAGAATTCAACCTATTGAAAATGGCATTCGCTTTGTTCGTGATTGCGCTCATATTAGTTCTCTCCATATTTCTATTGCGTCTACCAATGATCAACTCATCATCTACTTACCAAACCCCAGTCGCACAGTCGGTTTCATCACCTACATTCCAAAATTGGTGTTTTTGATGAACAATGCACCATCTTGGAGGGACATGACGGCTTGGCGAGTAGGTTGTTAGGCCATGGGCGTATCTACCTTTTTCTTCTTCTTCTTCTTCCTTTTTTTTTCCTCCCCCATTTCATGTTCTTTTCCTTTTTCTTTTTCGATTATACCATATACAATAACAACATTTGCATTTCTTAGCTTTCACTCATCTACACTACTGCACTATCATTTCCAATTTTGCTTATATATAAAAATATAAATGCAATTAGTCAGATTATCTTGTACCTATCTCCCTTATCCTCATTAGACATCAGTATATATCTAGCTAAGATTAGATATCTGTATACATCAAAAGTTACGATTTGTACCTATAAATATGATATATCAAATTAATGTCTGAATAAAGTGTGGTTGATATTTCTCTTTACTCTAATTATGGCTAAGCTAATTAATTATGTGAAAAATCATTTACTCAAATTTAGTAATTTGAAGCTGCCAGAACCTTTAAGGACTGCAATCTCTCCAAAGAAGAAGATTGATTAGGTATTAATGTAGGTGGCATTCGGGTCAATATATTATGGTACACAAAATTATACACAAATTAATGAATGAATTTTATATATTAGGTGTTTATGTTACACATATTTATGGTTTGAAGACAAGTGTTGTTATCACCATTCATCAAAATTGTACATGTATTATGCCTTTAAATTTGAAAAAATTAAGCCATTCTTTGGTTTTGACAAAATGAGATTTTTAATAAATTTTGATAAAAGTCGATGAAATTTATGAAAGGAACGTTGAAAAAAGTTGTAAATCACATGAAAAGTATTGTTAAAAGTGAACTTAGTAAAATAGGGATCGAACATGGACTAGGTCAACATGCACATGTAAAATCTGACATTTCCCTTGGCAACTATATATATCTCCACTTTGTGGATGTGATAGCTCTTTGTTGAGCACCACTGCCATTACTGTCTTGTCACCATCCATGGGAACCCAACCTTAATTCTTTTTAAGTAGTAAGAGAGTTTAAATTTGGCATTTTTGCTTGCTTCTTACTTCGATGATTCTGGTGTGTTAATTTGTTGAATGAAGACGAAAAGTGGAGCGTTTTGTTGTTCATCAAACGAGTTGGATTGACTGAGACATTCCTTTGCCTGTATACACGAACAAGATCAGTTCTCCCGTTTGTGTGCATGGTTGGACGACAATAGATATAGCTGACACACTCGTACAAACTTAAAATACCCTCTTTGTTATGTTTCTTTGTTGACTCTAGCTCCCATTTAGTTTTGTTAAAAGTTATACTTTTATGAAATATGCATTTGAGAAATTGATAAAAATTATGGATTCGATAAAATATGTGATTAAAATTAATTGTTGTGTTGGACCTAGATTTTTAGCAACATTTTTAACTAAATCAAATAGGGACTAAATATTATACTTATATGATTAACTACTTTTTTGTTTTTATTTTTTATTTTAACGAGTGATGTTATATATATGGCTTGAGCGATGAGATTCGTTAAGAAAAAAGAAGGAATTATTGGCAAATTAACATTGATCAACTTGAATAGTGGCTGGCTAAACATTAACCGTTTCAAATCTTTGCAAGCTTGATGGGCATCAAATCAATATTAGCCCTTGTTTGATTTTGCTAAAAGTTGAATTTTTAGTAAATTTTAATAGAAATGATAAAATTTGTGATAGAAAAGTGTTATATAAGTTATGAATTTCATAAAATAAGTGGTTGAAAATGAGTTTGAAAAAAACATAAGGACCAACTAGGGACTTTGTATTATATATTAATGTTGTTGCCTGCAACTGAAGCTTAATCATTTCGATTTTGGACCACCCAAGGCATCTTTTCAGATGTTGCACTAACCTTATGAGATGTACACATTTTCAAACTCTCAATATCCCAAGTCTCTTTCTTTTCATAAATTAATAAAAACAAAGGTGAAAACATATACATAAAGAAAAGAAAACATTGCAATCGAATTGGAGATATTTTTACAAATCGTGAAAATTATAATCTATACATTTTCTAGATTTACAATTCTACTAATTATGGAAATCGATTGAAGATTCTTCAGTCAATTGTTATTAAAAAATATACACCAACAAACCTCCTTCTTATTTTCAGTGTGGCTAATTTGCATTCAAAATAAGCCACACACTTTATACTTATTTTAGAATAAGTCACTCCAAACAATCCTCGATCGAAGCAACTTTTGCCTAGTTAAGTTGGCAATCATTAATTAATTCAATTATGCTCTCGCTCTCCTTCTAGTCTATAGAATAGAATTATAGGAACAAGAGAGAAACAAGCAATTGTTCATGTCCATGGATAAATACTACTTTTTTGGCATTATCGAGTGGTCAGTGGTCCTAATGAAACACAACCATTCATTATTGTTGAGGTTGTCCAATATCAATTGTGAAAGGGGTTGGTGGCTAGTTTATAAGTGTGAAAGAAAGCTTCACATCTTGAGTTAACTTTTGGAGTTGAGAATGTCCAATACCACCCAACACTAGTATCAAAGCTCAGGTTATCTACAAGTTTCAGGCCCAACAGTCATGAGAAATGCGGGTTTGTGTGAGGGGGAGACTAGTTTGGTCTCACCCGTGGCCCGTTTTATGGAGGGAGACGGGTTTGGTCTCTCGCAGGGCCCGATGTGTGAGGGGGAAATGGGTTTAGTCTCCCACAAAGCCCAATGTGTGAGGTAAAGATTGTTGAGGGGGAGACGAATTTGGTATCACCCATGGCCCGTTTTATGGGGGGAAACGGGTTTGGTCTCCCGCAGGGCCCGATGTGTGAGGGGGAAATGGGTTTAGTCTCCCACAAAGTCCGATGTGTGAGGTAAAGATTGTTGAGGTTGTCTCACATCGATTGTGAAATGAGTTGGTGGTCAGTTTATAAGTGTGAGGCAAAGTCTTACCTTTTAATCTAACTTTTGGGGTTGATCAGAAGGCCTAATACCACCTAACAATTACTTATACTTGTCCAATGTTTTTATCTTCTACTTCATCCCAATTCCACACATGTTTTAATTGTTCATCTTTTTATTCCAATGTTGCAACTTCAATGTATGATCACACATTGTTCCAATAATATCTAATTGTGTTGAGTATGCCAACTTAATTTATTTTTCTTGTCAATTCAAGAATAACTTTTTGATTCCCTAGTTTTTGTGGTTCTCCTAAAAAAAAAAAAATTAAAAAAAAATAATAATAAAAGCTAATAGGAAGATCATAATCACATAACACGTCGCCCCATAAGTAAAATCTGATGAATTGGATGTATCCTAGCTACACAATAACTGCATATTAGATTCCTTCATACCCCCAACAAAGAATTGGACACACTATTTATATTTATCTTCGATGTTCAACTTTTGTTACTTTGTCATATTCCGTCACTTATCATCTTTTAAATTAATAAAAATATCTTAATTAACAATCATACGGTATCTGATTTTGACATAATTGCTACGTGACACTCCCTAAATATAATTGATAAAATGAGGGTTCTAAAAATGCTTTTATATTAAAATTTTAAAGATGTATTTTATTTACACACTTTCATGGAGTGTCGAGTTGGCATGTTCACAATAATTACGTGAAAAGTTCATTTCCATACGGTGGGTGACTCAGTGTTGAAATTTGAAACCAAAATTGAAGTTCAGTGACTCAATTGAAATTACACTGCGAGTTTAGTCACTCAGCTGAAACTAAATTGAAAAAGTTCAGTGACTTAATTAAATGTGAATTGAAAGTTTAATGATCGAATTAAAATTTCATGAAATTTACCTTAAAAAAACTCTAGGGACGAATAGGATAATATGGATGAAAATTATAAATTTGTGATATATATTCGGAAAATCTTTCTATAAATTTGAGATTGATTAAAGAAATCATTTTTCACACTTTTACCAAGTTCGTTACATCCATACCTTCACAAAGAATGAGAATGTGAAAAGTAACCAAAACTATTTGTGAAATTAAAATAGATGATTGGCCATCAAGATTAAATAATGAAATATATAGATTTCCAATCTCCCGTTACAAAGTGAATTGTAACATCATGTTATAAGTACAAAATTTTTTGATAGAAAAATCTGACAAACAACACAGGACGCGACATCATTGAAAAATGAAAATAAGAAGAAAAATAGTTTACTTATATTTTGCCATGTCAGCATCGATACAAATTCTGTTAAATTTTTCCGTGCTTATGGCTTTATTGTCACAAAGTCTCTTATTTCTTATTAATCAAACTGGATTTATGCCAGCATCCAGTATTTAAATTATAAGCTCAATTATAAATACTTGTTTAAAATTCATAATTCATAAAAAACAATTTGTAATTTTCCATAGAGTTTAAATATAAATCCTGCTGGAATAACATCCATACTCATCAAATTTTTGCATTCTCAACACCAATGTGTTTCATAAGAGTGTTCAAGGAAATGTTGAGAGCTATATTTTTAAGTAAGAAAAGATCGAGCATTTTCAAGAAATGAATTCCATCCATGGAGTCTCCAATTTTTTATTATTTATTTATTTATTTTTATCCCGAGGTTACTTTATCTAACCACTGATTTGCCTCTATACGTACATCTCATTGCAACATTGATGATAATAGCTGCAAACTGTGCTTTTTATGATAGGAGCATTCGAATTTAAGGCTCGGTATTAGGGAGTTTACTGAGAATAGTGTGCTCTGGCTTGTGATCACACTCATAATCGAGATGAACAAAGGCCCTTTCAACTTCAGAAAGTTTTTCAATCTTTATCTGCAGTGATTCTCCAATTGCATGGGCTTCCTTCAATTGCAAATCCTCTGGAAGCTCTATGTCCACCTATTATATTTTTCGAAGTTAAGAGTTTGAACTATTTCTCGAATACCTACTAGAATTCAATAAGGTATAGAAACGTTGCTATGAATTGAATTAAGGTTACTTCTTAAGGTTCAAGAGTGTGTGCAAACAAGTGTTGAAAGGGAACCTACATGAATGAAGCTTACCTCGACGAAGTAGAGAACGCCGAATGTGTAAGCACGAACTGTATCAACCCGCTTGATTTGAGGACTGTGCCTTAGGACAAGATATGTGAGTTTCTGCAGTACTTCAGGAGGAGCTGATTGTCCCACCAACGAAACTGGAGCAACAAGCAATATGACAAATAGATACTAACATCGAACTATAAAATACAACTCGACTTCTCTTATCAATTTATATAGATTTGAAAAAAGATTGCACGAAAAGTCGACTTAGATTTTGCCATTGAAACTCGACAACAATATGACTTGATGAACTGACTTCTAGAGAGTCGGCGTCCGACACATCACCATTCCGTGTCCAAATTATTTTTTTGATAGTTGGACGTCGCCAGTACATCACTGTAAAAATTCCACAGATGAGTCCGTGTCGTGTCATATGTGACCCTCATGTCCATGTCACTGCTTCCTACCAGTACGAGACACAAGATTTCACCCGTACAAATTGCATAGTTAAGAAGAATTACTCAACTAAGTGCACCTTTGACTCATTTCATGAAAAGCCTTTGGATGATAAGAGCACAAATTTTCTGAGTTTTTTGAATTAGTCTATCTATCTCGTTACTACGCTAGAAGAGGATGAGGAGAAACCTGCATTCTCCAACACTGTTCCTGACCAATTTGAAATAGTATAGAAAGCAAGAATTATAGCTCCAGAAGGATCGATCCACCAGTAGAATTTATTGCCTAAAACAGCAGCAATTAAACCAACCACATTTGTCACGACATCAAAATAATGGTCCTGATGTCATGATCAAATAACAGGGTGAGTACAGAGAACTACTACTTGATAAAGAAGTGGAAATAATATGCATTTATTTGTCCTTTGAAAGCGAATATTTAGCAAAAGACCTTTGCATAGGCTCGAACAATCTTGTTTCCAGAGCTTCTGCAGTAAATCCAAAGAACGAGTTTTACCACAGTCGCTGTCAGCATGATGACATACAACCATAATAATTGGTTTGAAGTCATCTTTCCTACTGGTTCAGCTTTGATCAGTTGTTCAACAGCCTGTACAAGCACCTGAAAGAAATCACATTCAAACGCAGCAGAGTGGACGAGTTCTGCAATAATCACTTGTGCAAGTGATTATGGCGATTCAAGGGATATTCAGGCTTTATGCAAACTTTTGTTCATTTATAAATATTGAGATGCTAATTATCAAAATATAAGAGCCCAAGAGAAGAGGCATCACTGCCTACCAAGAGTCGCCATGACAGCAGCAAAGATGATAATGCCTACTGGTTGCACCCTTAATTTGCCAATAGGATACTTGTAGATGTTTATGCTTTTCATCGACAAGTGAGTAAACCATAGTATCCCACCGGCCATAAGATCAAGCAAGGAATCCAGCGTTGATGCTGCAATAGCCAAGGAGCCACTTTGGACCGTAGCATATATCTGCAATTTATTCAGGATACATGATTCAGTGACACAACTACCTCTTTAAAAATAGTGAAAACAAGATGGAAATCTAGCACAAATTGATCGAGCGAATGCTGTTTAACAATTCTAGATTATCGTTGTGCAGTGTATAATGGATAGTTGCGATGCAGGATAGCTTGAGAAACTGTTAAATCTATGAAAATGTACCTTAAACGCGAGAAGAAAGACGTTCGCCCAATTAGAAATGTTCATCGCCCTTTCATGTTGCGCTTGCTCTTGACGGTCTAGCTCCTCATCAATGTCATTGGGGGAATCAATTGAGTCGACTTCCTCAAAGGACCTCAAGGTGGAAAATTGTCTTTCATAGTATTCTTTCTCACCTGATACAAGATGCAATCATGCCAATTATTGAGAAAGACGAAACGGATGAGAGGCAATCATATATAATCATGAATATAGATTCTTGCAAACTAGCATTTGTTATTCTGTCTAACCTTAAAGACTGGAAACATAATCAAGTATAATTTCCTGTCCAAGAAATCTGAGGAAACAACAAATATTCCCTACTGAAAGATTGTATACTGTGACAAAAACATGAACATTTGGTATACCTTTTGCCAGGGTAGTAGTTGTAGGGAAATCAAAGCGAAAGGGAGCCTCAGGATCAAGACCTCTTCTTATTTTCTCAGGTAGTTTTGACAAGAAATCGTATTTAAGAAGATCAACTGAATTTTGGCCGTCGAGCTGGGGTTCTTCAACGGCCAACAATGGCGTCTTCACATCCATTAATCAATCCCCAGGACCAAAGAACAACTTGCCCAAAAAGTCTCAAAATCCCACTCACCAAACTGCCCAAATATCAAGATTTTCTATTGAAGGAGATCCATTTTTGATACTAGTGAAAACATGAGACATGTACTGCAATAAATTTAATGCGACTGAAAAAATAAAAATAAAAATAAAAATAATGCGACTGATAATATAAAGATAACATTAAGAATCCCAAGAAAACTACGCTGAAACCCAAAAAATTGCAGATATGCATGTAACTTTGCAAAGGATGACAGGTGGGTTTTGGAGAATTCGAAACGTAATTCTGCGCAGTCCATGGCTTATTTCAGGTATGAATTATTTGACTCTGTCTGCATGCCCATACAAGTGTCCCATGCATTTCAGAACTCATCAATTGGCAGTCTATTTGACTATTTTAGAGAAAATATTCGTGTAAATGTGAAACAATTAGGATAAACTTGTAGGATGTGTAGAAAAACAATTTTTATTGTCTTTATTATTTTAATATTAGATTAAAAATAATTTCTAATTTATATTCTACATTATAAATACCTAAAACCTCGATAATTGAATATTTGATAGCACTATGCCACAGAAATATGTGAATCACACTTCATAAGGATATTTGGAATTGTTTTTTTTTTTTTAAATGTATTTTTGAATTGTTGTTCCCTATTGAAAATGAAAATCAAATTGGGCTTCAATTAATGTTCACTGTTTTATATGGTTAGCTTAGACCATCCAGTTAAAAGCTCACCTCTGTAGGCTGAATGAAATGCTAATAGAGGAAATTACTTGAAATGTCCATTTGCAGAAATGTCCATTTGCAAAAATGTCAACTTTTACAAATTCTTGAAAAAATATCCATTTTAAAATATTTTAGATCAAAATACCTCTGTAAACAATTTATGATTCCACACAAAGACAAGAAATGGACATTTTTTGCAAAAATTTTATTGGCCAATAAATTTTGACACATAACTTGCCATATTTATTTCAAAAGTGCACATGTCAAATCACAATTAGGGTGCGTTTGATTACAAGTAGGAAAATTACATGGAAAGAAAATGAATTCCAGGGAATTGAATTACCTAGAAATTGTTTTCATGGAAATTGTAAATTATTGTGTTTGATTGTATAAATTTTTCATGTGGAAAATGTTGAAGTAAAAGTATTTTTTGATGTTCGTTTGACTTTGTTTTACGTGAAAATTGTCAATTTCAGGGATATCCTCTTTTACAATTATTCCTAAAATTTGTTCCCATTGCCAACAATTAAAAAAAAATAAAAAAAGCAAAAAAAAATAAAATAAAAATAAGGTGGAAAACCAAAAACCACCTATCCCCTAGGAAAAAAAAGGTGGAAAATCACGCTTTAAGGTGTTGTACCTAGAAATTCATGGAAAATCAATTCCCTGGAAAATTTTGTCAATCAAACAGGCCAAAAGTGGAAGTTGGAATTCGAATTCCAAGTCCCATGGAAAATTTCGTGTAATCAAACGGGGCCTTAATGTTATGTTTCTCATTGACACAGATACGTCGAGAATTACATTTTAAGTATAGAGAAATGTCATATTTGAAATGAAATGTCATTTTAGATATTTAAAATGTCGAGAACATTTAATATTCTAATTTGACATGTATACTTTTAAAATATAAATGAGATTCAAATGTCGAGAATGACATTTAAAATGTCGATAATATCATTTTAATGTAATTTTTCATGGAATCTACTTCTCGAAATCCGTAACAAATTGAAAAAATAAATCAATTGCTTCTTTTTTCAATTGCCATGAACATCTCAACACATAATACTATGTCTGATAGTGAACACGGCGATGCGCCTTATAGGACTTTGCATGATTATTTGCACCCCACACGTACATCCACACCATCATGCATAATGTTTCCGCCCAATATGCCACGTATGGAACTAAAATCGGGAATGATTCAACTTCTTCCCACTTTTCATTGACTTGACAGTGAAAACCCATACGTGCATATTAGGGAATTTGAGGAGGTAGTTGTAACCTTCCACAATCAACATGGTACAACGGATGCAGCAGGTTAAAATTTTTATCGTTTTCACTTAAAGAGAGAGCAAAAACCTGGCTATATTCGTTGAGACCACATTCAATTGGTACATGGGCTGAAATGACGCAAGCATTTTTTAATAAATACTTTCCCCACCATAAGACTAGCGCCCTTAAGAAGCAAATCTCATCTTTTACCCGAAAGGATAGTGAGACCCTATATCAGGCCTGGGAGAGATTTAAAGAACTACAAGCCCTTTGTCCTCGCCATGGTTATGAGAGCTGGCGTATAGTTAGTTACTTTTATGAGGGATTAACACCTAGGGAACGTCAATTCGTAGAGATGATGTGTAACGGTGATTTCCTGCAAAAGGATCCGGATGAGGCCATAGAGTATCTAGACGATCTTCCTGAGAAAGCTCATACTTGGACAGGACCTAGCCCTACTGATAGTACCAATAGGTCACGACCTCCAGGAAACCCCACTAGTACAAGTGTCTATCAACTTAGGGAAGAAGATAGTCTTAAGGCCAAAGTGGAAGCCCTTACTAAGGAATTTGAGACCTTGCGTGCTAAAGGCTCTAAACCTGCACAAACTGTTTCGCGTGTTGAATCTTTGGGACCTTGTTCTGTGTGTGGTGGAGTAGATCACCTAGCCCAAGAGTGCACCACTTTAATTGAGATTAGAGGGGTTTATGAGGAACATTGTAATGCCTTAGGCACATATAGGAAGCTCTATTCTCCTTTCTCCGAATCCTATAACCCAGGGTGGCGCAATCATCCCAATCTCAGCTGGAAATCTGAAAACCAACAAACTACCCAATTAAATAGAACTTATAGTGCACCATCATATCAACCCACGCCCTCTAGGAACTCTTTATAAGATACCCTACATGCATTCATAGAGGCACAAGGCAAGACCAATCAAAAGTTTGAGACTATGATTTACTAGGTAGTAGAGGAAAATAAGGAGATAAAAAATCATGTGTCTAAATTGACCAATGCCTTAACTGTGGGGGAACGTGGGAAATTTCCAGCACAAGCTCAACCTAATCCTAAGGTACAACATATGGCTCAAACCTCAGGTTCAGGAGAGAGTAACCTTAAGGAAGCAAATGCCATCACCACTCGATCTGGGAAGGTTATAGAACCAATTTCAAAACCTAGGGAAAATGAAAAGGAGTCTAGTGAGTCTGAAGAAAGTAGCCCTAATGATGAGGCAGTAGGAAATCCATCGAGGGTACCTTTTCCACAAGCCCTTAAGCTTAGCCCAAAATCAGTCAATCAACACAGTGAGATCCTAGAACACCTTAGGCAAGTAAAAATCAATCTTCCACTCTTGCATGTAATTTCACAAGTTCCTACATATGCGAAAGTCCTTAAGGACTTGTGCACTATGAAGAGGAAACACATTGTCAAGAAGACTGCCTTCTTGACCGAACAAGTGAGTGCTGTGATTGAACAAAGGATCCCACCGAAATATAAGGACCCTGGCTGTCCAATTGTTTCCTGTGTCATCGGGAACCATGAGTTTGCAAAAGCTCTCCTTGATCTAGGAGCCAGTGTTAATCTCATGCCCCATTCCATATACTTACTATTAGGTCTTGGTGAAATTAAACCCACTTCTGTGGTTCTACAACTAGTTGATAGATCCACTATAAGACCTAGGGGAGTAGTTGAAGATGTGTTGGTTCAAATTGATAAATTCTACTACCCCGTTGATTTCTTAGTCTTGGATGTGAAGGTTGATGTTAATGTTGATTCTAAAATTCCTATTATTCTTGGTAGACCTTTCCTCGCCACAGCAAACGCCCTTATAAATTGCAGGAATGGTATAATGAAATTGTCTTTTGGGAATATGACTCAAGAAGTCAACATTTTCAACATTGCTAAGCAACCAATGGAAAGTGATGAGTGCCACCACACACATATGATTGAGGCACTCACTCAGGAGGAGGCACTTGAGACTACAAATTCTGACCCCTTAAATCTTTTTCTTTTGAATTCTGCAATTCCAGCAAGTGTTAATGATGAAGAATATGCTAACATTTGTGCTATTTTTGCAAAATTTCAGGACTATGGGACATCACCATTGCAACCCAAGTTTGAAGAATTGCCAGAAAGGATGGGCGGCCAGCAACCATCAAGCATTGAGAGCCCCAAACCAGATTTGAAATCCTACCCTCAGGATTGAAACATGAATTCCTTGGACCAGGTGATACTTTTCCTGTAATTATTTCTTCAGAATTGGATGTATTACAATGTGAGCAACTTTTAAACATTCTGAATGAACACAAATCTGCATTAGGTTGGACCATAGCTGACATTAAGGGTATTAGTCCTCTAATTTGCTTACATAGGATTCATTTAGAAGAAGGAGCCACCCCTAAAAGAGACCCACAGCGTAGGCTAAACCCGACAATGAAAGAAGTTGTGAAAAATGAAGTGCTGAAACTGTTAGATGCAGGTATCATTTATCCTATTGCAGTTAGTAAATGGGTTAGTCCTACACAAGTAGTCCCTAAAAAGTCTGGTGTCACAGTGGTAAAAAATAAAGTAGGTGAAATGGTCCCAACAAAAATAGTGACTGGATGGCGCATGTGATTAATTATAGGAAGTTGAATGCTGCCACCCATAAGGACCACTTTTCCCTCCCCTTTTTAGACCAAATCCTGGAGCGTGTGGCTGGCCATCCTTTTTACTGTTTTCTAGATGGCTACTTTGGTTATTATCAAATTGAAATAGCCTTAGAAGACCAAGAGAATACCATATTTACTTGCCCATTTGGTACTTATGCATTTCGTAGGATGCCATTTGGACTTTGTAACGCCCCTGCCACATTCCAAAGATGCATGATAAGCATATTTACTGATATGATAGAGGAGTGCATGGAAGTTTTCATGGATGACTTGACAGTGTTTGGAGTCTCGTTTGATGCATGCCTATTTAACTTGAAGAGAGTCTTGACCCGGTGTGTGGAAAAATGATTAGTTTTGAATTGGGAGAAATGTCATTTTATGGTACCTTCAGGAATTGTCTTAGGACATGTAATTTCTTCTAAAGTCATAGAGGTCGACAAATCAAAAATTGAACTGATCTCCAAATTGCCTACCCCTGAAACCGTCAAAGACATAAGATCATTTCTAGGTCACGCAGGTTTTTATAGGAGGTTTATACAGAACTTTTCATCCATATCCAGACCCTTGTGTAACCTTCTAAGTAAAGAAGCCAATTTTGAATGGACCCCAGAATGCCAAGAGGCATTTGAAACACTAATTAACAAGCTCACTTCTGCACCGATCATACAACCACCTGATTGGTCCCTACCGTTTGAAATTATGTGTGATGCTAGTGATTATGCGGTAGGTGCTGTACTGGGACAACGAAGAGAGGGTAAGCCTTTTGTCATCTACTATGCTAGTAGAACTCGTGCTCAGATGAACTATTCCACAACTGAAAAAGAGCTACTAGTTGTGGTCTTTGCACTCGACAAGTTTAGATCCTATTTAATAGGTTCTCCCATTACAAATTTCACAGATCATGTAGCCCTTAAGTACCTTCTTGCAAAGAAGGATACTAAGGCGCGATTAATACGGTGGATATTGCTTTTACAGGAATTTGACATCACCATCAAGGACAAGAAAGGAGTAGAGAATGTCGTAGCAGACCACTTATCAAGGCTAACCTTTGAAGACACTACAAATACCTTGCCAATAAGAGATGAATTTCCAGATGAAAATTTATTTTCTGTGTCTTATTTACCATGGTTTGCTCACATTGTGAACTACTTGGCTACAGATGAAATCTCAAAGGAGTGGAGTACAAAGGATAAGAGGAAGTTTTTGGTTCAGGTACGTAATTTTTATTGGGATGACCCATGTTTGTTTAAGTACTGCCCCGACCAAATCTTAAGACTTTGTGTCCCCAATGAAGAAATACCTAGCATACTTAGTTTCTGTCATACTCAAGCATGTGGTGGCCACTTCTCTATAAAAAAAGGCTGCTGCAAAAATTCTACAATGTGGTTTTTATTGGCCTACCTTGTTCAAAGACACTAATACCTATTGTAGAACCTGTGAAAGATGTCAAAAATTATGTGCGTGTCTCGACGTAATATGATGCCTTTAAACCCCATTTTAGTTATAGAAGTGTTTGCTTGTTGGGGAATTGACTTTATGGGCCCCTTTCCACCTTCTTTTGGTTATCTATACATTATTGTGGCGGTGGATCATGTGTCTAAATGGATAGAGGCGGTCGCTTGTAGAGCTAATGACAATAAAACGTGTCATTACTAGTGACAGAGGCACACACTTTTGCAACCGTTCATTCGAAGCACTAATGAAAAAATATGGAGTTATTCATAAAATCTCTACTGCTTGCCACCCCCAGACTAGTGGACAGGTAGAATTGGTTAATAGGGAAATTAAACAAATTTTGGAAAAAACGGTGAATCCTAATCATAAAGATTGGTCTTTAAGATTAAGTGATGCACTTTGGGCTTATCGTACTGCTTTTAAGACTTCCCTAGGCATGTCACCATATAGACTTATTTTTGGAAAGCCTTGCCATTTACCTGTGGAGCTTGAACACCGAGCATATTGGGCTATTAAACATTTTAATTTCGACCTAGAAGAGGGAGGTAAGCTTAGGAAATTTCAATTGGCTGAGTTAGAGGAGTTGAGAAATGAGGCCTATGAGAGTTCTAGAATCTACAAGGAAAAAATGAAAGCTTTTCATGATAAAAACATTTTGAGAAAAACTTTTGAACCAAATCAAAAAATATACCTGTATGATTCTAGACTCCACAAGCATCTTGGAAAACTTCGTTCTAGGTGGACTGGTCCCTTTGTGGTATTACGAGTCTTTGAAAATGGAGCGGTTGAAATTGAGGATCCTAATGATGGTAGAGTGTTCAAAGTGAATGGACAGCATCTCAAAATAGCTTTTGAGCAGTAGGTGCCTGCAGTGGAAGAAATTTCCCTTGCAGACCCTGTTTACCACCCTTAGCTTCACTCAGGTTCATCCTTCACTTTATCTTTCTGTATATTAGTTTTAGATTTTTCTTTTTAGTATGATTTGCATTCATTTTTTTTTTTGGTTTATTTTTTTACTCCTTGCATTATCCATCCATTGAATTCTTTCAGGCTTCTCATCCTTCGAACTTAAGTTAATTCACTGTAGTACTCAGGTGATACCTTTCCCCTTCTTTATTTTTGGAGACATGTTTATGCATTGAGGACAATGTAACTTTTAGTTGGGGGAGGATACATTTTGTTTGTGAATTGTATTGCATGATAAATTGTGTGATCATGGAATTGTAAAAAAGTTTACATTTTTGCCTGGACTTTTGAGTTGCTGCATGTCTATGCCTATGTGCTTGAGTGACAAAATATGCCACTAGGAGTTGGTTGTGTTTATGAGAATCTGGATATCAGGACACTTGCTATATTTCATTTTGTGCACACAAGCCTTGTGGTAAGATAGTGGTTTAACACATGTAACTAGAGGAATCTCCTGCTAGAGCCTTCTTTAGAGAGAATTGGTGAGGATTGAGAGTTATCACATATTAAAAATGTAATAAGTGTTCATTGATTGTGTGAATTGGAAACTTCTTCTGAGAATGACATTACACGGTATGTGGTAAGACGGTGGTTTGTACTTGAGAAATGATAACAGTCAATTTAGGATTGAATTTGAGTCTTCAGACTAGTTTTTTTCCATAATTATAATCCCCTAGTAGCCACTTTGAGCCAATACACATACATAACCATTTCTTTTCATGTGCCTAAGTTATCCATACCTCCTTACACTGGATTAAAGTCTATAAATAGTCATTTTTCCACCTTTATGCTTCCAAGTGTATAGTAGGTGTTAAATGTCCATTTGAGAAGAAAAGTAACGAGGAAAGTGATAAGAGATGATAAGTGCTCGGGTGACGCAAAAAAAAAAGCAAGAAAAGGAAAAAAGAAAGAAAAAAAATTTTGAAAGAAAAAAAGAGAGAGAGTGGATTGTTGTTGGGAATTGAAAGGTTAAGGAATGCATTGATGTAAAGGATTGCTATGTTGAATTACTTGTTGAGATGCCTAACTAGATACTTGGAAGTCCCTAAATTCTTTTCACCCTACTTTTCATATAACCCAGCTTAACCCCTTTCACACCCTTTGTATTAACTGTTTTGATCTCAAATCGGTTTATGGTAAGAAGTTGATGAATTCTCATTTGAAAGTATGCCTATCATGTGATCAATGTATGCTTGTTGCTAATTATTAAAGCATCCATGTTTTGAGTGTGCATCTTTCCCAGCTCCATAGAGAGAAATCCCACACTAAACACTTTAATATCCGTGAGTTATGGGGCTGGACCTTTAGCTAGAGATAAACTCGATGTTGCATGTGTTAGGGTTGGCGGTAAGATGGCTATGGCTTGACACACACTTACACATTTAGCAAGTGTTTTTGATATCTTGATGATCATAACATTGTTAATTTCTGGTGGTGTTGAGTTTGAAAAGAGAATGAACTACTGTTGAATTAGAACTTAACAATTTCACTTGTAACATGGACCAATCACTCATTTGCTTTACTTTGCATTAAATTGCTAGGGACTAGCAATAAGCAAGTTGGGGGGGTGTGATAAGAGTGTAAAATACCATATTTTTCCCTCTTAACTATTGCATTCATGTGATTATATTATGCCAAAATGCACTCATTACTCTTATATTTTGGTTTAGGTTGCATTTTGGTGAAAAAGATAATGACCAAAGTAGAAGAGAACGAAAGTTCGGGGACTAAAGTGCAAATGATCCAAACTTGTGTCTAAGATTATGATGAAGATTTGAAAGTGTTAGAGGTCAAGTGGATGAGGAAAGAAGTCAAAGGAATGAAATAACGTCAAAGTTTGATCAATACATCAATTTCCAATCGAAAACTAACACACCAATTTTTAGTCGCATGTTGGGACCCATTTTTGACATGGAAGATGATCGAATTAGGAGATGACTTCTGAATAAAAATTGTGGCCCTTTGAGTTAGCTATCCAATGCAACTTGAATTACCTCAATTGGACATTGGGAAAGAAAGTTATGATTAAAACACTGAAAGCTTTCTGGCGGAACCATGCGGTCGCATGCCTTTCTACTATGCGGTCGCACACACCTATATCGAGAATTGAAGAGCCTGAAAGTGCATAACCATGCGACTGCAATGACAATAACCATGTGGTCGCATAGTGTTTTTTGGGCGGCCGAATCTCAGTTTCCTTATATGATTGAATCTTTTATGGTAACCTAATTTTCACGGGATATAAATGCCCAAAACCACCCCAGAACGAAGTCAGACGCCCCCAGACCTATTTCTTTCATCTTGGTGCTCAAGAAACTCCATGGAAAACTAAGGAACTTGGTGAAGCAACAAAGGATCTCAATCGGTTTTGGGCATTGACGGATGAAATTTTTGTGATTTTTAACGAAAAATGTCTTCATGCTTCATTTCCTATCTTCCATTATTCTTCTCAATCAAAAAATTGCCCATATCATAGCATTCATACATGTTAATACGAAACATGCGTGCAATGTTCGACTAAACCAAAGTTCCACTTGCGGAACTAAGCTGAGGAAAGGAAGATTCCCGACAGTTCATTTGTCAACAAGTTCATCTGTCGAGAATTACTGAGGCTAACTGTCGAGAACGACAATTCAACGCGATGGCATTTCTCTACAGTAGTGAACTTTCGATAGATGAACTATCGAAAAATCTACTCTTGACCTATTATTCAATAGCTACTTAACTCTATATTCTAGCAGAGCGAAACATTAAAACTACATGTATGCTATCAAGATTTTCACCCAAATACAACGAATACCACCACAATATATGGACTTGCAAGTGAAAACAACGTTATTTCTCATACATTAAGTGACACATATAGCAACTTAAACACTGCAGTAATCATTCAAGTCATGGTTCATACTTCTTATGTACAGGGTAGAAAACATAATAAAAAAATAAAAACATTTTAGGAGGAGGCTGTTGGGAAAGGCATAGTTTCTAATGGATAAAATGTAATAGAAGAAGGTTCAGATCAATATCTCAAACCTTTAAAGGAAACTCGAAATGAGGGACTGGCGAGAAGAATAATGGAAGATAGGAAATGAAGCATGTCACCGCTGGCAAAAGGAGTCGACAACCACCTGTGGCTTTTCTTTTTCTTTTTTTATCAAACGAAAAGAATTCTAGAGATGAAATGGAAATTCAATGCAAGGAGTAACGGAACAGGGTACCTTTTAAAAAAAAGTTCTAACCATAACACAGCAAAAAATTATTAAAAACATCCAAAAAAATTACAGAATATTAGAAAGGATTTTTACCTCTTTTTAATCCAAGTATTTGGGGAAAAAAAAACTTACAATCTGATCAACAATTATTTTTTCCAGCATTTGAAAAGCGAGATCAGCATCACCAATCTGTGACAAGCAAGAGCACACAACACTAGTAAAAGATTTAAATGTTTCCCAATTTGACCTTGCTTCATGATAGGATAGATCTCTTCCGCAACACAACACAACAAAATTCAATATTTATTTGAATGACCATAACAAAGATGAGTTTAAAAGGAGAATAAGAGAAAATAAATGCAAAATCCTACAAAAAAAATGATGAAAGATTCTTCCGAGGAAACATCAGATACTCCTAATAGAAAAATATAATAACCTGACTTTGTTGCAATCCTACAACAGATAGTGGTTGTAGACAAAGTTCTTTCAGAACTTGATGCATCATCAGACCCAATGTTAATAGTTTGGAGCAAGGTAGTGTTAGCTTTTTGGTTACTGAGTTTTAAAATCCAATCTTTTCGAATTTATTGTTGACATCCTCATTATTGATCTATTTCAAAACTTTATGTGGACTCGTGTGAATTTCGTTATAGATGATTTTTACTATATTAGAGAGGCAGAGCGATAGGCCATAGTTAAATCACATAATAATGCTTTAGAGGTTCTTGAGGAGACATGTTTATGGACTAACTGAAACAAGAAGAAGAAACCTTAAAAGAGGAAATTTATTTCAAGTTCTTTATATCAAGGAATGTGCCTTTGGATCAGTACACTTGGCGGTAGCAATTGATGGTACACACAGTAAATCAAATGCGATAAGTGTACTTGCAAATAAAAATATTCAGGAGCTTCTATAAATGATCAATTAATTTAAAAGAAACCATATTTCTAGAAAGTCGGTGCAATAATAAATACCTAAATGGATATTTATGTCTGGACTGGTATAATTGTCTTTCTTGGCATATTTCAAATCATTTTTATGTCCGTTTTGCTGTAATTTGATGGGTTATCATGAATATGTAAAGTAAGACAGGCAAGGATAACTCATAATTTTTAGAGCTGAAATAGCAGAAAAGTATTCACGGCAACCACCTACAACAGTTATCTTCCCCGTGGACCAGACTTAAAAAATAAATGATATGAGAGAAAATCAAATCGAATCATGTGCACTTATGTAGAGTTGAGGCAACATGTATTCAACCAACCATGGCAACAATTTGAAGATCCAGCATAATGTAACAATTATGAAATAGTTAGACCTATATCACGTGCATCTCTATTACCTTCATCTAATTTAGAGATGAATCATGTACCCAAAACCACAACAACATCTAAATGATAATAAAAGATAATACTAAGACATATGCACTTTCAAATAAGAGAATCTTTGCCAAGATTTGACTCAAAAATCTCAAACATAACCTATGACCAATAATGAATTTGTCCCCAACCCTTATCAAAATTAGATCAGTAAGAAAGAATACAGAATCTAAATTAACCAATTAAAGCATAAACCTCAGGTCAGATCAGATTTATATACTTGAATCAATAAAAATTTACCCAAGTCTAAGCCGTTACGGAAAATGAGAAAATCATGCAGATAAAACAATTTGTGACATGGATGACCTAATAATGTAGCATGATTACTGAGGTACAATTCCTAAATTCTCCAATTGAGCTAGCTCATGATGATCGGTATAAACACGAAGTCTTTTAATTTGTCAAGAATGTCCATGAAAAGCTCAATTGTTAGCCCTGCAATCCTATGCCTTCATTGAATCATAAAAGAATGCCATATTGCTGAATTCTCTTAACAAAGACATAAAAGTAGTAACAACGTGGGAGGGAAGAAACATACTTGAGGAACAACACAGGAATCAAATACTTAAATACATTATATCAAATCTATCCAATAAAACATGCATGTAAGTAAAGGTTCAGTGCATATATGAGAACTTAATTCTAAAGTCAAAAGATATTAAATTTCCCTTCATCAACCTTGACAATTTCTTGTAGTGATGAAAACTACTTTGAAATAAACCCAAAATGTGAATAAATCTAATGCTATAAAACGATAGAAACGGGCGTAAGAGGCATCAGTTGAGTGTCTAACATGTTTTATAGCAGCACATCTGACAAAACATTGATGTTCAATTTAACCAAGATAATAACTTCAAAATAAAGAAAACTACAAAATTTGAAAGAGGAACAAATATATAATTTTTTAAATGCAAGATAATTACAATTGTGTACTTTTCTATATAAATAAATAACTATTAGAATTATAAATCTAAATTTGACCCATTATAATTTTACATAATTTTTTGTAAAAGAAACTGGTACAAATGTTTAGAAATCTTTGACCGTCTTATATTTTTGGTGCAAGCATTTTAATCTTGGTGCAAAAGTTCTAAATCTTTGCATTCTTAGCACAATTAGTTCTTTAGAATGGATCCCTCCAAAAATGTATAAAAATTTTACCTCAAGGCCAACATTGTACAATGAATGTAGAAAAATTTCCTCTTTTTCTAAAAAAATTGCAAAAAAAATAAAGAAAACACCAACCTCAATATATCAGTTATGGTCTTCGTCGGCAGTGGAGGGATTGACGGCGGTTGTCGACGGCTGGGCGTTGGACGATTCGAATGCCAAGAAAATCTCGCCTTTCGCCGGTTCGTACGACGGAGGGAAGTGAGTTCGCCAAATGCTTTTGGTCTTCATCAGTGGTGGTGAAAGAAGGGAATGTGTGAGAGAGATGACAATTCCAGTGAGAAAGGAGAATGTGTGAGAGAGATGAATGTGTTTCAACAATGGTTTCTTCTTCTTCTTTGTGTGGGTTGTTTTACCCTCTTCACTGTTTTTATTTTTTATTTCCATCAATGATTTAGTAAACTGAAATTTCACATTTTTTATACAATTTTTTTGATTGGTCAAATCTCATTTAATTAGGACATGTAGGGTATTTAAAATTATCTTTAAAGACAAACATGTTTAAAATTGTCTAAAATTGACATTCTTACAATGTAAAAAAAAAAAAAAAAAGATGACATTTTTGTAAATACAAAGTCAAAAGTTGACTATTTTAATAATTTACTCCTTTTTAAAATACCCATGCTAATATTAGTCTCAAGTTACAGCCGCCGGAGTACACATCGGTACAACCCACTTCACACCCGGCCCGGCGACTTCTAGCTGACCACCGAGGTTTTATTTTTTTTCATTTTTATTCTTCTTAATTTTGATAACTTATGCAACTTGGGGTTTTGATCTTTTCTGAATATTGAAGTAAAATACATTTTTTTTTTTTTTTTGGGTGGATTGAAATGGTGAAAAACTAAACCTTTGTTTGGTGGGATGGAATTTTGAAATGTGGATCAATACTAGAAATGATTCCAAATTTGAATTGAATTTATTTTCATAAATTTCTAATCCCGTGCGCCATGCTAGTGACAGGAAGACTGTGTAATTTGAGGACCCAAATCCAATTCATTTTCTTCTATCATCACTTCAGTCCCATCCGTGCGAGTCGCGACCAAGGCCATCGCCATCTCTCGCCCCACTGCCGGTCAGTCCGCCCCTCAGGCCTGCTCTCCGTCACCACACCTCGCCACCGGCATCGGCTCCCTGACGTCCCCGTTCACGCGGCGGTCCATCCCTGTTGTTCCGAAGGTAAAACCCTAACCTTCTAATTTTTCAAATCTTAAAAAAAAAAAAAAATGATGCATAGTTGCTGTTTTGCCAATGTTCTTGTCTGGCTGTTCATTTATTCGATGGTCATGGCAAAACCCACCTGAAATTGAGGGCTTCTGTTTGATATTTGTTTCTTAAATTGAGTTGCTGGGGATTATGCGTTTTGTTTCATAATTATGCGATTGAATTGCTGGGGATTATGAAATTATGCCTCTTGATTTGTTTCATAATTATGTGATTTCATTTGTATAACTGAGGCGATTTACTGGGGTTTTTCTCTCAGTCAATTCTTCTGTAATTTGAGGGTTTAATTTTATTGGGGAATAAATTTAAAGAGACCACGAAAAGAGTAAAAGGGGATGAGTTGATTTTCTTCAGTTCCCTGCTGCTGCTTTGCTAATTGCCTTCATGCGTCAACATTCTCTTCAGTTCCTGCTTTGCCTTTATTCTATTCGTATTGAGTTTGTTTTAATTGAAAATTTGAGTTAATTTTATTCCTTTGGATTACTTGAATTGAATTGAAAATTTGAGTTAATTGCCTTTCATTACTCATTCAGGAACTTCAATTGCGATGGCTTTATCCATTTTCTAAATGATCTGGCATTCTAATTTTTTGGTATATAGTTCATACCAGATGACATGGAACTTCACTTAGGAGACATCAGACATCCCTAATTATTTGACTTCACATGGATCTGTATGTATCCCTAGCATCCCAACACCCACCCCTGCTTCATGTCTTGCCTGCTTGTTTCTAAGTTTAGTTTCAAGGTGCATTGGGACACTCATAGTCTTTTCCCTGGTTAAAATTCAGAAAGACTGTGAAGTTCAGCTAAAGATTATTGGAAATCGAGTTTATGCTACAGAAATTGTATGCAATCTATCTCATTTATACACTTGTCGCCTTGTATTCTATAAAATTTCATCTGAGTAATGTTACTTTTCTTTTTCCGTTCTTTTGTTAGTGTTGAACTAGAGTAGAGATCCATTTCTTTCTATTGTTGCTTGGCTGAAGACATTTTTACCTTTTAGCAGCGAAAGACAGAAAAATAACGTTATCCTATGAAACAAGGCACGAAGATTTAATGTGATTGTGTTTTGTAAAATCCTAATCGCCTTCTATTTTTTCACAACTTTTATGTCCGTCCCCCAACTCAAAATATCTGCGTCTATCATTGCAATCTATTGTCTGCACAAGCGTCTGCTAATTTGAGTAATGTATTGATTGAATGCTTGGTTATGCTTTTGTTGTAGAATTGTAGTTATTGGAACATTGTTTTGCTTTCTTTGTATTTTATTCTTTGGGTAAAAAATCTTCGATGTTGTCAGCTTTTGAATGGAATTTATATGAAGCTTTGGGGCTTTATATTTATAAAATAGTGTTAAGCTTGGGTTACCGAACCAAAGTTCCATTGATTTATTTGTGTTGTAAATTAAGTTTTTAAAGGGTTAGGGTGAATGGAGTTGAAGAAATATAGGATTGGTGGTTGTGTGAATTGATGGATTTTGTAATATTTCTCGGTCATATAATTTTATTGTGTTTTTCTTATTGGATATGAACTTGATTTCGTATTCTAAAGGTTAGAACTTTAAATAAGAAAATAATGATCACTAAAGAGCTTGGTCTAAGAGCTCATCTAATAAGATTTTTCAAGACTTGAACTTATAGATTTTGAAAAGTTTAAACAAGCAATTCGACCCATTTAAAATTCAAATAAACATGTCACTATGCCCCCGTTTGACCCCCTAGTAATTTTCATTCCATTACATTTTATTTTTCTCTTTTCTATTTTCAACCACACAATTTTCTATAAAATAATGTTACACGTAAATCGAAAACTTTACCTTCTTTTTTAACCACTCATTTATCAAAAAAATATTATTCCACCTATTAATTTTTCCACAAAATGGGGGCCAAACGGGGTCTTATATGTTGGGGTAAATTTTGGTTAAAATTCATGTTGCTACAATATAAAAAAAAATATAAATAACACATGAAGACTTGGATTATCCATCTTAACAATGTTGACCTTTTAAAATTAAATATCTAGATTTAGCCATTGTGGTTTAGATTAAAATCAAATTTTTAGTAAGTTTTGATAAAAGTTGATGAAATGTGTAGTTGAAAATTTGTGAGTCCATGAAATGTGTGATTAAAATTAATTGTTGATTTTGACTTAGAATTTTTAGTAGATTTTTAATCTAATACCAAACGGGCTTATTATGCTTTAATTTACAAAATTTTATTGAGTTGCCTTTTACAATGAGTTTCTGCAAGTTCATTTTTTAATTTGATGCAGATTAGACTGCTAGCCAAAGTTATTCATGCTTAAATATTTCTTATTGCAATTAAACCATGTGGGCAGCTGAATATTGTGCTAAAGTTCTGAATTTAAATTAAAGTGTCTACTGTTATTTATTGTTATGGTGTTGTCGCTCTCTTGTTTTTGAGTAATGTATAGAACTAGAAAGATCACTTTTTTTAGCAGTTTTTAATTTGATGCAGATAAGACTGTTACTAAAAGTTATTCATGATTAAATATTTCTTCTTGCAATTAAACCATCTGGGCAGCTGAATATTGTACTAAAATACTGAATTTAAAATTTTTCAGTGCCTACTGTTATTTATTGTTAAGGTATTGTTGCTTTCTTGTGTTTGAGCAATGTATAGAACCAGATAGATCACTCTTTTTTAGCAGTTTTAACTTTGTTGCGTCAATAATGTAATGCTTTCAATAGATGGGAAAAAATGAAAAATAAAATTCATTCCTGCTATGAATCCTGTCAAATTCACCCATAGGACCAATGGTGGCCATTGCTGGTCCTCATGAACTAGCACGGGTAATACTGGGTGGGTACAACCATGCCACCTGTGTTAGTAGTCCAAGGAGATTGCTTGGCTGGAAGGTTAAATTCTACAGCCCAACAAATGCAAGAGTGAGTCAAATTGGAGTATAAATTAGAATTAATTATTCCTTTAGGTGAATTACAATCCACTTTAGACTAATCTTCAATTGTAATTTGTTCTGAACTCGGTATATTAGTGTATATTGCATATATAATGAAGAAGAGTGCCAATTATTCATTCAATAGCTGTGATGATGAATACTTGTCTAATTATTTCCTAATTGCAGGTAACTCAAATGTTATTACATGATACATTTTTGTAGATAGCTTTGAACAATCAGTTTGAGAACTTTATTTTGTCACTTGTTGAAATGTGCATTTGATATGTTTGAGCTTTACTCTTTTGCAGGATTCACAAATCAAGCATGTCGTTGTGGTTTCATGAAATTTAGTTTTAGAATTCGCAAAACCAAGAGAGCTGGCCAGCCTTGATACTCACTTGTTTGAAACCTCAAATTGAAGTGTGGGTACAGATCACATCAAAATAGCAGGCCCAAATATAAACTTAGCCAGCCTGCTGCATAACCTATTAAAAATGTTCGTCATCTACAGAATCTCCCCCCTCCCTCTCTTCATTCTGCAACCAACAGGCATACTGAAATCCGCTTGAACACAAACTAATACGTTCATAATATAGAAGCATACCCACACTCATATACTCATGAACTTGGGAAAGAACTTTATCCATCCATTCATAAAATCAGCCCATTACAATTTCCAACAACACCGTACAATAGTAAAAGTGCGTTTAAAATGGGTGAAAAACCGCTCACTGGACCATATAATCGACGTCCAAACAGATCTTAAGGCTGCTTGTCTAATAAAAGATGCTATTACCCGCTCCTCCACAGGATACTTAACTGCAAAATCGCTTTCTGATTCCCAAAAGCTGTTGGGCCTCACTGTCCCGACTCTACGCTTCATTCGGCGGTACCCTACGCTGTTTGAGGAGTACCCTCACCCAAAATATCCGTCCTTACCCTGTTTCAGGCTTACACAATTGGCCCAAATGCTACAGGAGAGAGAAATGAGAGTGTTTGAGGAGTGCGAAGGTGATACTGTGGAGAGGCTTTGCAAAGTGCTCATGATGACCCAGAATAAAGTGGTAAATTTCCTTTTTTCCCCCATTTTATTTATGCATTATATTATTCATGTAAAAATGTCTAATTAGATTTAGAACTGCTAAGTAGGATTTTATCTTTTGAGGTTTGTACCATTTGTTATTTTGGCTATTGGAGTAAGAAGCATTGCATATTTCTCCAACTTTCCTTTCCTACAAAGTTAAGTAGTGAATAATTTTTTTATTATTTTATTTTATTTTCTTCGTGTGTTTATGGAGTGTTATAATTTGCTGAACTTGGAGAGTTGCAAATATGATTTATGTACAATAGGCTCGGTGAAAATGCAGAATATTATTTAGAAACATATCTGGCTAAAATGCCTTATTTGACCTTTTATCTTCCAAACTTTCAGTTCATTTTGAATCTTTTCTTTTTTCTTTTTTATTTATTTTTCTTTTTACTTTTTTGAAATTATAGTAGTCCAGAAGAAGTAATTGAGAAATGAGAGAAAAAGTTTATGCCTGGATCGCATGTGAACATAGTGAAACAACACTGGTTGGGACACCATAAAGTCCCGTCAACATCTTTATGAAACAAAAGTAAAATTTTCTGTGTATACTTAATTATGAAATTATATCAGACAGTAGGAGCATATAGAAAGCTTTGCTTTATCCGGTGTTATTAAAGGGGGAAAAAAATACCAGATTTCTTTGTTTATTTTTTGGATTTCTAACCACTCATAGTTTTACATGTTTACAGGTGCCTGTACAATCGTTGCATTCCTTGAAATGGGACTTGGGGCTGCCTAATGATTTTGACCGCAATTTAGTTAAAAAGTATCCAGAAAAATTTCGGGTTGTTAAGGAGAGAAATGGATTGGACTGTTTGAAACTTGTTCAGTGGCAGGAAGAATTCTCGGTTTCTAAGTTACAAGAGATCAATGAGAAGAGTGTACCCTTGAGCACAGATAATGCTAATAGTAATGGTCTTGTTGGTTATGGGAGATTTAAGAAGGGCAAGGCAGCGTTAGAGTTCCCTATGAGTTTTCCAAGGGGTTATGGAGCACAGAAGAAGGTGAAGGCATGGATGGATGAGTTTCAAAAGTTGCCATATATTTCTCCTTACGAGGATTCAAGAGGAATTGATCCAAATAGCGAGCTTATGGAGAAAAGGGTGGTTGGTGTGCTGCATGAATTTTTGAGCTTGACTATTTATAAGAAAACTAAAAGGAATTACCTGAGGAGCTTGAGGGAGGATTTGAATCTTCCGCACAAGTTTACTCGAATATTTACGAGGTACCCTGGGATATTCTACCTCTCACTGAAGTGCAAGACAACAACTGTGGCATTGAGAGAAGGGTATCGTAGGGGAAGACTGGTGGACCCTCATCCTCTTTCTCGCCACAGGGATAAGTTTCACTATGTAATGAGAACTGGGTTGGTTTATCGAAATAAAGCTGCAGATTTTTTACCCCAGCTAGACAATTTGGTTGAAAATGCTGAGAATGATACTGCAGAAGAAGAATCTGATGAAGAAGAAATTGAAATGGCTGGTGAATGCTATGATTCAGAAGCAGAAGTTGGTTCTGATGACGGTTGACATGCTAAAGAAGCTAGAATTTATGGAAAAAGGAAAAGACGTATACTCTCGAGGTAAGCGAAGATAACTATGATACAATCCATTCTTCATATCTTTGTTTTATTTAGTCAATGAGGATTGGCTAGTTGATAGGTTGTTGGAGCTAGTTTTTAAACCCACTGCTGATACACTTGAAAATCTGCTGTGTTCTTTTGGAATTTTTCAACTCCATATAATCAGAGCTTTATAGGTGACCCTATTGGCTAAGGAGGTGCAACTGTAAGATGGCATCTTCACTTCTAGGAATGAATTGGAGCGAGTTTTGTCATTGTAGTCAAAACTCCTGGGCAAACTAGGCCGATAGACTGGTCTATTGCCTAGGTTACTGGTGACACCAAGATGACATTAATCTCAATGTTCTTCTCTTCCATTCTCTCTTCCCCATTCTACCTTTTTCCCTCTACTTTTATTATATGTATATAGTGTAACATAGTTCTATTGTGCTGTTAAATGAATTTATACATTGTGTGTGTGTGTGTGTGTGTGTGTGTGTAATTTTTAGTTCTCATAAGGGCACAATAGTGCTCAAAATAAGTAGCAAGTTTATCTATGGTATTGTATACTATAAACTCAAGATATAGAATAATTGAAGTGAAAATTTAGCTTCAAACCTGGGCCCCATGGGCTTTTGGCCCTAGCTTGAGTCCCAGGTGGTTGCTAGGTGCCCTGCTGAATGTCAAAAAACTAATACTTGATAAGTGATCGACCTTTGAGTATCAATTCTAAAAGAGTTGATCGGATTACGTTTTTTTGGGGAAAAAAAAATCGTGTAGAAATATGTTCGCATTGATATATAATTTTCCTACAATGTTTATTTTGTTGACAACATTCTTCTCCAGGAACTTAAGTTTGTGGTGCCAATGCTCTGAGCATTCCTAGTGAAGCAATAAATTCTTGTGACACTGATTTTTGACTATTTCGAAATAATCACAGCATTCAAGAAAAGAAAACTGAAGAGCAAGAACTAGTCAAGAAACATTTATGACTTATGAGCAGCTTTTTCGATTTCGATTTCGATGGTGGAATGGAAGATGATTGCAGATCTGATATGGAATATGTGAGGATATGACAGACATCTTGAATGACTTCAGAGCTGGTTTTAGTTTATAAGCTTATTATGAACCCTAGTCAGGTTCAATTGGGAGACTTCCAACTCCAAAACTAACCATTGACAGGATGCACAGGCTACTATGGCCATTTTTTTAATTGTATCCATAAACTGCTTGTATACATTTTGTTCTAAATAAAGTTACTCCTCTTCATTATTTATGCAATCAAACCCAACCAGTGCAGTTGAGTTGATGAAAGAGATCATTCATTTTTTTTTCTTCTGCAATGTTGCCTTTTTAATTTTTTGAGTTGATAAATGTTGAAGTCGACTCATTTTTGAAAGATTCTCACTGTTTGGCGTAATTTTGTAGATGTGGATCTCATTCTCAGTTGCCTAGAAGCAAATCTTTCATACTTTCTTGTGAACTTTGATGAGAATAATTGCAATTAAAAAAATTTTGGACTTTGTACCATCAGTTTTCCTTTCTCTTTTTTTAAACGAAGTTTATAATTTATTATTTGACCTTTTGAAAATTAGTCATGTGGTGGGACCTTATCAAATCTTATTAATAAATAAGTACGCAAAAGAATGCTAAACTTGTCATTTGTCTTCTTTTTTTTTTTTTTTTTATCTCGTCAGTTC